TTGTTATTATTATTATTATCTATTATTATTATTATTATTATTATTATTATTATTATTATTATTATTATTATTATTATTATTATTATTATTATTATTATTATTATTATTATTACTATTATTATTATTATCATTATCATTATCACTATTATTATTACCACTATTACTGTTATTATTATTGCCATTACTATTAATTATTATCATTGTAATCGCTATTACTTTTTTTATTGCTATCATTATCGTCATTACTATTGCTGGTTGCTATTATTATTATTACAATAATAATAGTTATAATGGTTACTATTATCATTCATTACTTTTTTAATTTATCACCGTACTTCCAAAATTTGTAAAATTCTTTTTTTTTGAAAAAAGAAAAGATAATTCTCTCCTACTTGTTAATATTCCATATCAAGCAATCTTTTCCTTTTCTTTGTCGAGATAGTTATTTTTGTTAATGGCAAGTAGTTTTTGTCCACTTCTCTTTCTCTCTCTCTCTCTCTCTCTCCCTCTCTCCCTCTCTCCTATTTCTGCTTATTTTTTATATTTTCATTTTGAGGGGGTTAAATCAGCTTTAAACAAAAAAAAAAAACTTTTTGATCTTTCCCCAGTTTATATTCGTTTTTTTTTTCATTCTGTTATTTTAGATTTAGATTTTCCCTTTTTGTTAAATTTAAACGTGTAAAGTAAAAAGTTTGTCAAATCAGGAAATAGAATGACTCATTTTCCCTTTTTTTTCTTTATTTTATTTTATTAAATATCTCTATTCAGGATGAATTTTCGTGCCTTTCTACCACTACGTTTTTTTTTTCTCCAGAAATTTTTTTTTAAAAAATAAAAGCGAAGAGAAAAAAATCATTAATCATAAAAAAGATGCTTTTCAGAAAAAGAATTTTCTCGATAATGGATGAAAAGACGTTTTTTTGTTTTTTTTTTTTATTAAATTTGAAAGAATTCAAAATTTCTTATCAATAATTACTATCAATCCATTTCTCTCATTTATTCTTGCTCACTTTAATGGGTGAAATTTTCGTAGTGATTTTACCTTTGACCTTTTCGAATCATTATTTTATTAAAAGAAAAAGGAAATGAATTAAATGAATGGAATCATTTTTTTATATACAAAAAGTGGGAAAGTAGTAATAGAAAAGTGATTAGGTTTAAAAAAAAAAAAGAAAAAAGAAAATTTGGTTTAAAAGAAGAACGAAATGAAAAATTTGCCGAATGATGAGTCATCTCATTTTATCAATGATTTTTGAATAAATATCATTTATATTGTAAAAGGAAGGAATGAACGAAGGGATTTTTTTATTTTTGGCATTTCCCCTCTCTCTTTTCTTTCCTCTCTCTCTCTCCCTCTCCCTCTCTCTCCTTCATTTCATATACTTAATCTTGTTTTTCAATCCTATTTAAATCTATTTTAATTTGAAAATTTTTTTGTATCCATTTTTTTTTTTTGAGCATGAAAAATCTTATTCTTTTCGTTTTTCCTTTATTTCCTTATTTCTCTTCTTTTCTTTTTGATTTTGTTTTCCCAAACGTTTTGACAACAACAACAACAGTAACAACAGCAATAGTATTAATTAATAATAATGGTAACAATAATGACAGTAATAATGTAATTGTAAAAGTGATAGTAGTGATAATAACTGCAATAATAATAATAATAATAATAATAATAGTGATAATAATGATAGCAATGGTGATAATAACATAATAATAATAGCAACGACAGTAATAATAATAATAGTGGTGATAATAATAATAATAATAATAGTAGTAATAACAATAACAATAATAATAATAATAATAATAATAATAATAATAATAATAATAATAATAATAATAATAATAATAATAATAATAATAATAATAATAATTAGTAATAATAATGACAATAATAATAACAATAATAATAATGATAACAATAATGGTAATAATAATAATAGCAACAATAATAACAATGACAATAACAACAATAATAGTGATGATAATAATAGCAATAGCAATAATAGTAGTAATAATAATGGTAATAATAGAATAATAATCATAACAGTGAAAACAATTGTAATAGCGATAATAGAAATAATAATAACAGTAATAATAGTAATAATAATTTCAACAAAGTGCTTTCATAAATTATTCATTTTTCTATATATGAATACAATGATGAACTTGATAAAACAAATCATTTGTATTTTGTATTACAAAATTATATAATAATGTTTTCTTTTCTTTATGCTAAAGAATTTTACTACTTTGAATGAAACAGATTGATACAGACAATACAATATGTATAAATTCTCTTTCGTTTTTGAAATATTATCATTTTTCCTTCTAATTTAATCTTATAATAATATCAATGAGATAAGTGATAAAAGATAATGGATGATTTATTAGTGAAGGAAAAGAAAAAAAGAAAGGATGAATAATAAATTGCAAAATACAAATAGTATTCCTAATAATTTTTATTTTCATAAAATTAAAATTTAAAAGGGAAAGTCTTTTTTTTTTTCTTGTAGCATACCGTTATTTTATTGATAAGCAACAATTATTAGCAACATTCATTCATTCATCCATCCATGTTTTATCAATTTTTATCAAATCCTTTTTTTTTTTCCCATCCCGCTGCCCCCTCTTCATCACCACCATTGTCTATATATCATTATTTTATAAATAAATGGAAATATTGAAATATTTTTCTTCCTCTTAATTGATAACATTTATCACTTCTCCCATATCTTTATTGATAATTTACTTAAAAAATAAAAAAAACTTTTACTATACTTTTATTTATTCCAGGAAATTTGATTGGGAATTTTAAGTTTTATTTTTCAGGTAGATAAGTGCCAGATTTCAGGTTTTTTCGCAACGGACCTCATGCAAAAAAAAAAAAATTCGTAATTATTCACAAATTTCTTGTCCTATTTTTTCTTTTCTCTCACTTTTTCCTCTCCATTATTCCTTCTGCCCCCTCTTCTTTCTCTCTCTCTCTCTCTCTCTCTCTCTCTCTCTCCTCTACT